TACTATTGCCTCCCATATTTGTCGGTCCTGTGCCAGTAATTCCCAATGCCGCACTCCCATTTTCTCTAGATCGTGGAGTATATTAACATATACCAAATTAAATCCTTAGTTGTAAATTTTTGAAATGAGTACTCAGTATACATCTAAGTTTCATAAATGCTCCTCATAAATCTCATAAATCTAAACTTGTGTAATCCATTCTTTGTTGACAATTAGTTGCATAGGGCCGACGTTTACTAACCACAAGTAAATTATCTTATTTCTTTCATTTGACAATAACAATTGTCTGTTAGATTAGTTTTGTAATAAGTAAATTAGTCTCTTACTGAATGATAATACACAACACATCAAACTTATTCTAAGCTATTTCTTGTGTCATGTTATATTTTATTAGATTTTGATGTAATAAACCACAACCTATCAAATTCAATATTAAAAATCAAAATTGGAAATGATAGCGTGACTAAAGTATTCCTTCCTTCAAGAAATTTTAAAAAGAACTGATTCCTATTACTATTCAGTGCAAGGACAGTTATTTTGTTATTTATATCGAATAGAGAATACCTACTGTTAGTTTGCGGTATGGACCCCAAAAAATATTTTATTCGAAAATATTGATAAAGATATGGAACTGTGGGAAAATATGCTACAAAAATTGCAAGATTTTTATTATAATTTTTATTTGGACACCTTCTGACGAAACATTAGACATAATTCTATAACATATTTTATATTTATATAGATTTATTTTATCAATTTTAATGATCGTGATACTAATCAAATTTTTATGATATATAATTATAATCTTTTTTTATAATGTTTATTTTCCGTAAACTTTAATCTACGTTAAAATTCAGACAGCCAATTTTTCCATAAAAAAGTAGCAAATAAATTATGTATGTATCTTTGTTACATTGTAAATTTATGAATAAATTATATTACTTTGATCTGTTATACTATTTACTCAAAACACCACTAAAGAGAAATTTATGGTTTTATTGTAAGCCAAAACCTGTCACTTCAGGGGTTGTCCCGATTGTATAATCGGCTTGAGTAAAAGATTAAAGCATTTTTGACCTGGGCTTGAGAGAGATATCTGAACGAAGTTTAGAATATTACTGCATGAACAGATTTTATTTTCGTAAAGAAAGAAATTTTTGAAATAGAGATAGCCCACTGAAATTTACCGTTAGAATTTTCGAGGATGAGCCTTAAACCAAGGATCAGATTTAATGCCCAATATAACAAAATCAGAAATCAAAGAAGCCCTGAAGAAAAAGAAAAATAATCGAACCCCGGGTGAAGATGGAATAGTATCAGAAGCACTAAAAATTGGAGGGGATGTATTACTTTAAAAAATTAAACAACTTTTCAATATCTGCCTTCACAGCGCCAATATTCCAACAGACTGGAACAACGCTACTATGATTCTATTACACAAAGCAGGAGACAAAGCAAATTTAGAGAACTACAGACAATGGAAAGAAAATTAGAGACTTATCAAACAAGGGAACAGGCAGGATTCCGAAAAAGTTACGGAACAAATGACCATCTACAAAGTATAAAAACCCTAATAGAGAAAGCAGTGGAATACAATAAACCTCTAGTTCTAATATTTATCGATTTTCACAAAGCCTTTGACACAGTTGAGCTAAGCAAAATATTACAGGTGATTAAAGAATGCAGGCTAGATTATAGATATACTAAATTATTATACAAAATATACCTGCAGGCAACAGCCACTGTCAAATTACATACTAACAGTAATCGCATAAAAATAGAACAAGGGGTTAGACAAGGAGACCCAATGTCACCTAAACTTTTTAATACGGTGCTAGAACATGCTTTTAAGAATTTGGACTGGATGACAAAGGGAATAAAAATAGATGGAGAATATCTAAACAACTTATGTTTCGCCGATGATATACTTATAATAGCTGAAGAACTAGGTATGGCAAGAGAGATGGTACAGGAACTCGTTGTGGCTACAGAAAATGTAGGTTTAAATATAAATATCTCGAAAACAAAAATCATGACCAATTTGGTGCCCAATCAGAACATCAGTATTGGTGGGAAAGAAATAGAACTAGTAGATAGATATAAATACCTGGGACATGAAATTATGATTGGCAGAGATAAGCAGACTCATGAACTGAAGAGAAGAATCAGCCTTGGGTGGGCAGCATTTGGAAAACTGAGAGAAACTTTTAAAAGTGAGCTGCCCACATGCCTAAAGAGAAAGGTATTTGATCAGTGCGTCCTCCCAGTCTTGACGTAAGGAGCAGAATACCTTAACAAAAGCAGCAGCTACCAAACTGAGAGTCACGCAGAGAAGAATGGAGCGGTCCATGTTAGGAATAACTCTCCTAGACAGAATAACAAACGAAAACATCAGGAGAAGAACCGGAGTGACTGACATCATCGAGAAGATAGCCAGACTAAAATGGAGATGGGCAGGACACATAGCCAGAATGACAGATGGACGATGGACAAAGAGGTTATTGGAATGGGGGCCAAGGGAAGACAAGAGAAGCGTCGGTCGACCACCTACAAGATGGACTGACAATTTAAGAAGACTCAATAAAAACTGGATAAGAGCGGCGCAAGATAGACGGGGTTGGAAACATGAGGAAGAGGCCTATGTTCAGCAGTGGACTCTTGAGGCTGGATGATGATGAAAGGCTTAATAAAAAGGCTCTATAAAGACTTGGAAGTTCAAAGATAGAATTTTGAACATGTGTTATAAGTTGTTATAATGTATGTATGTGGAATTGAACAAAAAAATGTGTGTGCTTCACTTTTTTAACTTATTGCTCAAAAAAACTGAAATGTGTTCAATTTTGAAGTATTCTCTTTGCAACATTATGGATATGTAGTGGTCGATCTAGAAACCTTGTAGCAAATAAAGCACATGTTTTAGTATATAAAAAGTAAATTTCTGTCACTTCTGTTACTTTGTAAAAGTGCCAGTAACCAGAAATAACAACAAATGTGACATCTTTATACACAGCTTGCTAAATTTGAAAGAAAATTTAACTCAAAGGCCAATGGAGGCAATGCATGCACAAAAAAGACAGATCACAAAAGAATAGAATGGATCAGACAGAAAATCTAGTTCACCTAGTATAATTAACTGTTTGTATGAGAAAATAATATTGATATTGCTTCTACTATTTTCCTTACAAACATATATTTTGTTGCCTTTTAAACCTTCATTGGACTTCTACAAATATTTCAAAAAATGGCATTTGCTGAATGTTTATATATGGATTAAAGAACAAATTTGTTGGACAACAAATATTTCAAAATCAAAATGAGCCAAATTAATCCAGTGGTTCTCAGTAGGTTTTACTGTGTATTAGCATGTAGCTTAATACTGTGTTTTCTGTATTTTTTAAATGTAAATAATATGTTATAATAATTCAATAAATTATTATGTTTACATACATCACATGTTTTTGACAATATTGGGATGATAATCTAGTTATACTGCACTTTTGGTACTATACACTTACTTATTCAAAAAATAACAATGATTCTAAAAGTATCATGTCACATTTTATTTAGGCAGTAAATAAATAAGCATAATAAGTAAATATGATTATGGAGTACAAAGAACGTTCTTGTGTTTAATGATGTATTTAAAATACAGTTTAAAAAGTCCTTTAAATTACCTGGTACAGACACTGCTGAAGTACAGTGATTTATTATTGCTAGGTTCAAATATGTACTAAATCAAGAGCAAAAAAATAAACTAACAGTTAATAAAGAGGTGCATCTTACAGAGTCAAAGGAAGGATATGATTTAAAAAATCGACATATTAATCTTTCCAAGGATAATCCAACATATAAAGTTTTGACTTGTGCTTAACTACACCTTTGATTGAAAACAGCATCAGCTTTTATAAGAGGAAATCATGGAATTTTATGGATACAACTTAAAATTCCTTTGACTTTTCAGTATATTGCATGATGTGGGATGAAAGTAAAGCAGCTCGTGGTGGAAAAGAAAAGGCTTCTTGTTTATTAAAATGGGCAAATAGTGTTATATGTGACTATACCATTCACCACATAACCATATAGACAAACAACTGTTATGGTCAAAATAGGAATATGTTTATTGTGATGGCATATTTCTGTATTTTAAAGACATTCCCATAGATTCACAGAATTAGAACACAAGTGTTTGTGAAAAGGCCATACTTATATGTAAATAGACACTGTTCATGGTCACATAGAAAGGAAAAGGGTAGCAAACATGACAATATTCTGACACCTTAGGACTAGTAATAACTTGTATGCTAAATATATACTAAATACACTGTACCCAATATGGAAGGTGAGGACTTCAATCAATTCAACTCATATTGTGTGTCAGAAAAGAAGCTCCTTTTGTCTAAACAAAACTTGAGGCAAAAAATACCCCGTTTTAATATCTACCAGTATGTAAACTTCTTTTAATAACAATAATTTCAAAGAACTTGATATATCATTTCAAAGAAGTGAAAAAATTACATGGCCAGAAGTTCTGCCTATCACTATCACCTATGACTTATTACTTTCCCAAAAATTTAATTACTTGATGTCACTGTTACCATATTTACCAGCTGTATGTCATCATTTTTATAAAAATATACCTACATCTACTACAATGCTAGGTGCAATGCTAGTGATTACCCAGATTATGATGACGAGTTTTAATGTGTGACTGATAAACATTGTCTTTTTTATTTTAACAGTATCCCTGTGATTAAATGGAAGACAAGTAGACAAATATTAAGTTTCACACTTTACACTGTAATGTTTTTTATGAAGGTGAAGTAAAATAAATATTGCAGAATGCATGTATTCCCATTTTTAATAAGCCATATTTTTAATATCTAGTAACCACGATTAAAATGCAAGAGATCTTGAAGAGGTAAACAGCACTACTTATGTCCACATTGTGATTTATGAAAATTGGGGAAAACATTGACATTTAGGTAGGTATGTGTGCTTACCTTCTTTGGTATTTTGTTTTTCTTTAAAACACATGAGTATCTTTTCATCTTGTTCTATTTCAGTCTTTACTGGAAGTTCGTTCAAAGCTAAACAATCAGAAGTATAATCTACATTTTCTAAATTGGATTCTTCCTTAATTTCATATTTAAAGTAATCCAAAAGAGCATCATCCAATCCATTATTCTCTATTTTTACTTCACATGTGTCCTCACCCTCACTGATTTCTTGTTTTATTACTTCCATTTGGTTGGTTAAACTTAATTTCATGTATGTAATTCAATAATAATCAGAGTACACAGCCCTTTGTGTTATTTTATACACGCTGATAACATTTATGGGACGTTTTAAAATGTAAAAACGACGTTTTTTAGTTTTTTACAATTGGTCCCAGTGAAGATAGCCTCAAATTAGCTGTCAGCTGTCAATTAAGTTTCACAGAACGAAATATTGCCTTGGCAGTGTTGCCATGTTCCACGTAAGAACAGTACAATTATACCAAACTTGTTAGTAAATACAAACTTGATACTATTTTGTACATTTTGTTTTTGTATTTAAATTACCTTTAAATCTTAACCAACACTAATCTTATATTTATATACTATATATTTTAAAACCATTAAAACTCTTATCATTGCATTCCTAAAAGTTGCCTTATTTTATAAAAAAAAACCTTGACCCTTTTAATTGCATTTCCAAAATTGGCCTTATTGGTTAATATAAGACAAGTAGACAGATATTACATTTCACACTATACACTGTTACACACTTACACCAAAGAATATAAACGCTTAAGCCTATATTATTTGCTTACACATTTAGGTAGGTATGTGTGCTTACCTTCTTTGGTATTTTGTTTTTCTTTAAAACACATGAGTATCTTTTCATCTTGTTATATTTCAGTCTTTACTGGAAGTTCGTTCAAAGCTAAACAATCAGAAGTATAATCTACATTTTCTAAATTGGATTCTTCCTTAATTTCATATTTAAAGTTATCCAAAAAAGCATCATCCAATCCATTATTCTCTATTTTTACTTCACATGTGTCCTCACCCTCACTGATTTCTTGTTTTATTACTTCCATTTAGTTGGTTAAACTTAATTTCATGTATGTAATTCAATAATAATCAGAGTACACAGCCCTTTGTGTTATGATATATACGCTGATAACATTTATGGGAAGTTTTAAAATTTAAAAACGACGTTTTTTAGTTTTTTACATTTGGTCCCAGTGAAGATAGCCTCAAATTAGCAGTCAGCTGTCAATAAAGTTTCACAGAACGAAATATTGCCTTGGCAGTGTTGCCATGTTCCACGTAAGAACAGTACAATTATACCAAACTTGTTAAGGCAGCTTTACATCTAGGCTATGCAAGTCTCATGCATCGAGCAAAAAGACAAAAGAGGGAATCTAATCCTTATGAAAAGGAGACCAAAAAAGTGGCCTCTGATGGCGGACATATCCGGAAATGCGAATGCGCCAAATTTAAATTTTCCGCCACTTATTAACAGTAGCTATATAATATTTTTCAGAATGTGTCTTAGACGAGAAAGTTTTAATTAATTATTAACGATAATAGTCTAAAATGCGACACAATTGTTAAAAAACTTCAATATAAATAAAATTTCATGTGACATTTGGGACAAACAATAACATAACCCAACTAAATTTGATGTCAAACAAGGAGAGAGACTCTCTTTCCTTGTTTAATGTGGCCTCTAAAGATCACACTTCCTGTCTAACAATATTTTTGCCCCTACTACCTTTACATTCCCTCTTTTATCTTTTTGCTCGATGGTCTCATGCTATGCAAGTCCGTCTTGCATGGCACATCTCTTGCCTAGCTTGACCTTTTTGAGATATTTCTGTGCAATTTTAGATCCCACTTTCATTGTTGCCAACAGAGAAAATATTTATCAATTTGAGGTTATTTTATTTTAAATAAATATAATTAAGTACTAAAATAAATATACACTATTTATGGTTATTAAAAGGGTGAAGGATGTCAACCAAAGAAAAGAAAACATTGTTATTATTGAATATTGTTGTTGTAGCAACAATCATCCATAGTCAACGACTCACCCAGTCGTTTTTACATTAACTTTAGACATAGTATATATATTTATCACCACTTAATAAACTTAATTTAAATCAAAACACAACAATACACACGTGAGCTAAGGGACGCTAAAGACAGAGATAAGGTTATGTTTTATTATGTAATCTATTATAAATTCTTATGTTGGCAATATGAATTTTAACGATAAATTGCAAGAAAAATAGAACATGTTCTAATTTTTCGTCTAGCACAGGAATTGCATGGAAATAGCCCGTGGGCATGCGCAGTTCCATGATCTGTCTTGCATGGCTCTTGCCTAGCATGAAAACAGCATAATGTAAAACTGTCTTTAGTAAATACAAACTTGATACTATTTTGTACATTTTGTTTTTGTATTTAAATTACCTTTAAATCTCAACCAACACTAATCTTATATTTATATACTATATATTTTAAAACCATTAAAACTCTTATCATTGCATTCCTAAAAGTTGCCGTATTTTATAAAAAAAAACCTTGACCCTTTTAATTGCATTTCCAAAATTGGCCTTATTGGTTAAATATAAGACAAGTAGACAGATATTAAGTTTCACACTATACACTGTTACACACTTACACCAAAGAATATAAACGCTTAAGTCTATATTATTTGCTTACACATTTAGGTAGGTATGTGTGCTTACCTTCTTTGGTATTTTGTTTTTCTTTAAATCACATGAGTATCTTTTCATCTTGTTCTATTTCAGTCTTTACTGGAAGTTCGTTCAAAGCTAAACAATCAGAAGTATAATCTACATTTTCTAAATTGGATTCTTCCTTAATTTCATATTTAAAGTTATTAAAAAGAGCATCATCCAATCCATTATTCTCTATTTTTACTTCACATGTGTCCTCACCCTCACTGATTTCTTGTTTTATTATTATTATTATTTATATTATTATTTTATTCCATTTGGTTGGTTAAACTTAATTTCATGTATGTAATTCAATAATAATCGGAGTACACAGCCCTTTGTGGTATGATATATACGCTGATAACATTTATGGGACGTTTTAAAATTTAAAAATGACGTTTTTTAGTTTTTTTACATTTGGTCTTATTTAAGATATCGAAAATTAAGTAAAGAACGAGATTCCCTTTTAGGACCAGTATCAAAAGCGTCGATCAGCGACACACCTCGGACATCATATAGATTGGCGTCGAAGCTAGTACGAATTTTGGATATAAAAAGCGAAATAAAAATTTGTTTTTTGAAAACTGTGCGAGAGTTATAAGAAATAGTCGATTTAAAATCGGATTCAGGAAACGGCATCATATGTTGAAAGTAACAAAATCTTCTATGAATGCAACATATGTCTCTTTGAGATTCGGGAGACTCCTGAAGCGATTCTTTAGCATACAAACAAAAATATGCCTAGGAATAACGAATAAGTAGCGAATATAAACGAGAGAAAAAAGATAAATAAAGAGAATTGGGTTGTAAAACGGTGAAATAACAGAAAATCGACTTGTTAACTTTCAGAAAATCAACAACTTAAAAATATCTTTCATGAGCTTGGTCGTGTTGGGACAAAACTAACAGACTCGCCCTTATAGAACATAATTGAAAATTATTTCTAAGGTCACAGGATGATTTGGTTCGCCAAGAATGTTGACCAGAATTTACGAAACGAAGAACCAATTCAACCCCTATAGGTATGTCTATAAGATCTGATTAAAAAAATGCGTGATTTGGTAGATCACTGAAATAAAATTGGCTGTAAAGCCTGTATCTAGCAGAATACGAATTATAAGAAAGATGCGAAAACATATTTGATCTGTATCAACCATGTGGAAAGAAATAGAGGAGGACTTTAAATGTGTTTGTAAAGCAAAATATAAATGTTTGTATTTGAAGAAGTGGTTATGTAAAGGTACAAGAGAAATTTGACGGTTGGTTAACAAACGAAGCAAAACGTGAGGCCGTGATTCGCAAACCGTGGTTCGTCGTTCCGAATGAGGTGGGAATCAGGCTGCGTACACAAAAATTATGAGGATTAACCAACGAAAAAAGTTCTTGAAGCCGTTTAGCCCCAAAAAATACGAACATTTATATAAATGGTGAGAACCAGAACACAAAATACGAAATAGACGAGGATATTAAATATGTTTTTGAAGCAAATTAGAAATGCTGGTATTTAAAGAAGTGATTGTCCAAAGGAACAAGATAAATTTGACGGTTGGTTAACAAACGAAGCAAAACGCGAGGCCGTGATTCGCAAACCGTGGTTCGTCGTTCCGAATGAGGCGGGAATCAGGCTGCGTACACAAGAATTATAGGGATTAACCAACGAAAAAAGTTCTTGAATCCCTTTAATCACAAAAACTACAAACATTTATATGACTGATAAGAACCGGAACATAAGACACATTTAACACCTTGATTAGTTATCTTAAGGTGCTTTGTGGCACTAACGAAACCACAGGTAACGGAGATTTCAACGAAATATTGAAATAAAGCAGTGATAATCGAAAGCGAGTAGAAGAAGACAATAAATTCAATCGAAACAGCGTTGTGAGTTTTATGAAAATGTACCCTGGCTACTAATAATAATGAAGGTGTGTGGTTTTGATATTTGAATGCGTTGTATAGGCCTCCTTGAATCTAGAGAATGCCGAGTATGGCGCGAAAAGTTGCATTTGTTCATTTTGTTAAGCATTGTAAGATACAAGCACGAAAGAGAAGACAATGCAAACATAAATTAACAAATCAACATGAAGAGAATATCTAGATATAAAGAAGCGAACGGTTTTAAAGAAAATCAATTGCAAACAAGTGAGCATATCGATAAAAAGGTAAGTAACGAAGAAAATCAAATGAAATGTGTTTAAATTAACACGCAAAACGTACACTAGGAGTTGAAAAGTATGATACAAGTAGAACAAAACTAATACATAAAAATCAGCACAAAAACAATGTAAAAAAATGTAAAACAATAAATCATAAATGTAATGTGATAGGTATAATATGTATAATTAACGTATGATATTAATCAAAATATATATAAAAGTATTTTACCTACTGAAATTATGAATTATAAAAATAGAAATAAATTTAAAAATTGCTATGTAAATATGATCCAATTCAATTATGTAAATAAAATTTAAAACTAATACACGAAGGACCGAATCAAGCTTAAATTGAAAAGAAACAAAAAAAACAATTAATTAAAATGAATTAATCGAAACACAATGAAATTAATTGAATCGAAGTTATAATTATTTATCATCCGGCAAGAAGTGACCAAATGTTTAGGATAAAACTTAAGAGGTCGCTGGTTAAATAATATTGGATAAATAG